AAAAAAAGGGGGGATAATTAGAGAAAAAAAAAAAAGAGAAAAGAAGAAAAAGGATAAAAAAAAAAAAAAAAAAAGAGATAGAGAGAGAGAGAGAGAGAGAGAGAGAGGAGAGAGAGAGAGAGAGAGAGAGGGTGTCACCATAGCAGATCACCAGGATACGCCATAACAACGCCACAAGTTGGTTACACCAGACAAGAAGATCAATACTGGCACCACTAGAAGCAGACGCAGCAGCAACAGCAGACACAGAAACATCAGGAGACACAGAAACATCAGGAGACACAGCAACAACAGTAGTCACAGCAACAACTGCAGCAGACACAACAACTGCAGCAGACACAACAACTGTAGTCACAGCATCAGCATCATCAGCAGACACAACAACTGTAGTCACAGCATCATCAGCAGACACAACAACTGCAGCAGACACAACAACTGTAGTCACAGCATCAGCATCATCAGCAGACACAACAACTGTAGTCACAGCATCATCAGCAGACACAACAACAGCAGCAGACACAACAATAGCAGCAGACACAACAATAGCAGCAGACACAACAACAGCAGCAGACATAACAACAGCAGCAGACACAACAACAGCAGCAGACACAACAACAGCAGCAGACACAACAACAGCAGCAGACACAACAATAGCAGCAGACACAATAACAGCAGTAGATAGAGCAACAGCAGACAAAACAACAGCAGCAGACACAGTAACAGTAGCAGAAACAGTAACAGCAGCAGCAGACATGTGTTGTTGTCAAACTCAACAACAGCATCTCACTCAACAACAGCATCACACTCAACAACAGCATCACACTCAACAACAGCATCACACTCAACAACAGCATCACACTCAACAACAGCATCACACTCAACACCAGCATCACACTCAACAACAGCATCTCACTCAACAACAGCATCACACTCAACAACAGCATCTCACTCAACAACAGCATCACACTCAACAACAGCATCACACTCAACACCAGCATCACACTCAACAACAGCATCTCACTCAACAACAGCATCACACTCAACAACAGCATCCGACATTAAAACTTAAGTACTTAGACACTGCAACATTAGGCCTCAGGCACAGCAACATCATAATCAGGAAAAGGCACAATTGTAAAAACAAAAACTGTGCCACTAACAACAGTGCTACAAGCAAAAACAGTGATACTAACAAAAACATTACCACTAACACCAACTGTGACACTATCAACAACAGTGCCATTGACAACAACATTGCCACTAACAAAAACAGTGTTTCAAACAACAGTACCACTGACAACAACAACATTGCCACTAATAAAACCTGTGCAATTAACAACAACAGTGTCAATAATAACATCTGTGCCACTAACAACAACAGTGCCACTAACAACAGTGCTACTAACAACAACAGTGCCACTAACAACAGTGCTACAAACAACAACAGTGCCACTAACAACAACGGTACTACTAACAACAACAGTAACAATAACAACAAAAGTTCCATTAACAACAACATTGCTACTAACAACACCAGTGTCACTAACAACAGTGTCACTAACAACAACAGTGCCACTAACAAAAACAGTGCTACTAACACCAACATTGCTACTAACAAAACAGTGCCACTAACAACAGTGCCAATAACAACGACAGTGCTATTAACAACAGTGCCACTAACGAGAACAGTGCCACTAACAACAACAGTGCCACTAACAACAACAGTGCCACTAACCAAAAACAGTGCCACTAACATCAACATTGTCACTAACAACAACATTACCAATAACAATAACAGTGCCACTAACAGCACATTGCCACTAACATCAACAGAGCCACCAACAACAACATAAGTTCCATTAACAACAACAGTGCCACTAACAACAACAGTGCCACTAACAACAACAGTGCCACTAACAACAACAGTGCCACTAACAAAACACAAGTGCCTCTAACAACAACAGTGCTACTAACAACAACAGCGTCACTAACAACAACATTGCCACTAACAACAACAGTGCCACTAACAACAACAGCGTCACTAACAACAACATTGCCACTAACAACAACAGTGCCACTAATAACAACAGTGCCATTACCAACAACAGTGCCACTAACAAAAACACAAGTGCCTTAAACAACAACAGTGCCACTAACAACAACAGCGTCGCTAACAACAACATTGCCACTAACAACAACAGTGCCACTAACAACAACAGTGCCACTAACAACAACAGTGCCACTAACAACAACATAAGTGCCAATAACATCAACAGTACCACTAACAACAACAGTGCCAATAACAACAACGGTACCACTAACAACAACATTGCCACTAACAACAACTGTGCCACTAACAACAACAGTGTCACTAACAACAACAGTGCGACTAACAACAGTACCACTAACAAAAACTGTGCCACTAGCAATAACAGAACCACTAACAACAGTGCTACTAACAGCAGTGCTACTATCAACAACAGAGTTACTGACAACAACAGTACAACTAAAAACAACAGTGCCACTAACAACAACATTGCTACTAACAGCAGCAGTGCCACTGACAACAATAGTGACACTTACAACAACAGTACATCTAACAACAACAGTGCCACTAACAACAACATTGGTACTAAGAGCAGCAGTGCCACTGACAACAATAGTGACATTTACAACAACAGTGCTATTAATAACATCCGTGCCACTAACAACAACACTGCCACTTACAACAATAGTGCTACTAACAGGATCAGTGGCACTAACAACAACAGTGTCACTATCAATAACAGTGCCGCTAAAACAACAGAACTAATAACATTAATAGTGCCAAAATCAACAACAGTGTCACTAACAACAAAAGTACCACTAACAACAACAGTGCCACTAACAACGATGTCACTAACAATAACAGTGCCAATAGGAACAACAGTGTCACTAACAACAACTGTGCCATTATTAACTAACAAAAACATCAGTGGATCGTTTTGATCATCAAAAACATCAGTTTTGTTAGTGGATCAGTGCCACTAACAAAAACACTGCCACTAACAACTTCAGTGCCACAGACAACAACAGTGCCACTAACAACAACACTGCTTCTAACAACAACATTGCTACTAACAACAACAGAGCCACCAACAACAGTGCCACTAACAACAACAGTGCCACTATCAACAACACTGCTACTAACAACAACATTACTACTAACAACAACAACATTGCTACTAACAACAACAGAGCCACTAACAAAAACAGTGCCATTAATAACATCACTGCCACTAACAACATCACTGCCACTAACAACATCACTGCCAATAACAACAATATTGCTACTATCAACAACATTGCTACTAACAACAACAGTGTCAAAAACAACAGTGCAACTAACCAATTACAGTGCCCACTGCCAAAAACAACAACAGTGCCACTAACACCAACATTTTTACTAACAACAACAGTGCAACTAACAACAGTGCCACTAACAAGATCAGTGCCACTAACAACAATAGTGCCGCGAACAAAAACAGTCCCGCTAACAACAACAGTCCCATTAATAACATCAGATCCACTAACAATAACAGTGCCATGAATAACATTGTAACTAACAACAACAGTGTCAATAACAACAACAGGGACATTAAAAATAACTTTGCTACTAACAACAACAGTACTACTAACAATAACAGTGTCACCAACAACAACAGTGCTACTAACAACAACAGAGCCACTAACAACAACAGTGCTATTAACAACAACAGCGCAATTAACAACAACAGTGCTACTAACAATAACAATGCAACTAACAACAACAGTATCACCAACAACAACATTGCCACAACAACAACATTGCCACTAACAACAACAGTGCGGCTAACAACAACATTGCTACTAACAACAATAGCAGTACCACTAACAACAAGAACATAAGTGCCACTAACAACAACAGTGTCACTGACAACAACAGTAGGACTAACAACAACAGTGCTTCAAACAACAACAGTGTCACTAACAACAACTGTGCCATTAACAACAACAGTATCACTAACAACAGCAGTGCAAATAACAACAACATTGCCTCTAACAACAACTGTGTCACTAGCAACAACAGTGTCACTAACTAGAACAACAGTGCAACTAGCATCAACAGAACCTCTAACAAGAACTGTGCAACTAACAAAAACAGAGCCACTAACCACAGTGCAACTAAAAACAACAGTGTTACTAACAACAACTGTGCCACTAACAACAGTACAACTAACAACTGTGCTACTATCAACAACAGTGCCATTAACAACAACAGTGATACTAACATCAACAGTACCAATAAAAACATCAGTGCCACTAACAACAGTAGTGCCACTTACAACGATAGTGCCACTATCAATAACAGTGCCAACCGCAACAACAGTGCTACTATCAATATCAGTGCCACTAAAACAACAGTGCCACTAACAACAACAGGGTCACTAGCAACAACACTGCAACTAACAACAAAAGTACCACTAACAACAGCAGTGCCACTAACAACAACAGCACCACTAACAACATACGTATTTCTATCAATAACAGTGCTACTAACAACAACATTGCTACTAACATCAAGAGAACCACTAATAACAACAGTGCCATTAACAACAACAGTGCTACTAACAACAGTGCCACTAACAACAACAGTACCAATAACAACAACAGTGCCACTAACAGAAACAGTATCACTAATAACAACAGTGTCACTAACATCAACTGTACCACTACCAACAACAGTGCCACTAACAACAACAGTGCCACCAACAACAAGAGTGCCAATAATAACAATAGTACCACTAACAACGACAGTACTACTAACATCAACAGTGCCACTAACAACAGTGACACTAACAACAACAGTGTCACTAACAACAACAGTGCCACAAACAACAAGAGTGCCATTAATAACAATAGTGCCACTAACAACAACAGTGTCACCAACAACAACAGTGCTTCTAACAACAATAGTGCAACTAATAACAACTAACAACAACATTGCTACTAACATCAAGAGAACCACTAATAACAACAGTGCCATTAACAACAACAGTGCTACTAACAACAGTGCCACTAACAACAACAGTACCAATAACAACAACAGTGCCACTAACAGAAACAGTATCACTAATAACAACAGTGTCACTAACATCAACTGTACCACTACCAACAACAGTGCCACTAACAACAACAGTGCCACCAACAACAAGAGTGCCAATAATAACAATAGTACCACTAACAACGACAGTACTACTAACATCAACAGTGCCACTAACAACAGTGACACTAACAACAACAGTGTCACTAACAACAACAGTGCCACCAACAACAAGAGTGCCATTAATAACAATAGTGCCACTAACAACAACAGTGTCACCAACAACAACAGTGCTTCTAACAACAATAGTGCAACTAATAACAACAGTGCCACTAACAATAACAGTGCTACTAACAACAACAGTGCCACTAACAACGACAGTACTACTAACATCAACAGTGCCACTAACAACAGTGGCACTATCAACAACAGTGCCACTATCAACAACAGTGTCACTAACAACAACAGTGCCAATAACAACATCAGTGGCACTAACAAAAACAATGGCACTAACAACAACAATGCCACTAACAACAACAGTGCCATTAACAACAACAGTGGCACTAACACCAACAACAGTGGCACTAACACCAACAACAGTGCTGCTACCAACAACAGAACCACTATCAACAACTGTGCCACTAACAATAACAGAGCCACTAACAACAACAGTGTTACTAACAACAACTGTGCAGCGAACAAGAGTGCAACTAACAACTGTGCTACTTTCAACAACAGTGCCACTAACAACAACAGTGACACTAACAACAACAGTACCAATAATAACATCAGTGCCACTAACAACATCAGTGCCACTTACAACAACAGTGCCAATAACAACAACAACTGTGCCAATAAGAACAACAGTGTCACTAACAAGAGCAGTGCTACTAACAACAACAGTGTCACTGACGACAACAGTGTCACTAACAACAACAGTGCCTCTAACAACAAGTGTCAATAACAATAGTGCCACTAACAACAACAGCAACTGTGCCAATAACAACAACAGTGTCACTAACATCAACAGCAACTGTGCCAATAACAACAACAGTGCCACTAACAACAGCAGTGCTACTAACAACAACAGTGCCACTAACAATGACAGTGCTACTACCAACAACAGTGTCACTAAAACCAACAGTGCCACTAACAACAACAGTGCCACTAACAACAACAGTGTCACTAGCGACAACAGTGTCACTAACAACATTAGTGCTACTAACAACTACAGTGCCACTAACAACAACAGTGTCACTAACGACAACAGTGTCACTAACAACAACAGTAGCACTAACAACAAAAGTGGCACTAACAACAACAATGTCACTAACAACAACAGTGCCACTAACAACATCAGTGCCACTAACAATAAGTGTCAATAACAAGAGCGGCAATAACAACAAGAGTGCCACTAACAACAACATTGCCACTAACAACAACAGTACCACTAACAACAACAGTGCCACTAACAACAACAGTGCCACTAACAATAAGTGTCAATAACAAGAGTGCCACTAACAACAACAGAGCCACTAACAATAAGTGTCAATAACAACAGTGCCACTAACAACAACAGTGTCACTAACAGCAACAGTGTCACTAACAACAGCAGTGCCACTAACAACAAGTGTCAATAACAACAGTGCCACTAACAACAACAACTATGCCAATAACAACAACAATGTCACTAACAACAGCAGTGCTACTAACAACAACAGTACCACTAACAATAACCGTGCCACTAACAACAACAGTGTCTCTAGCGACAACAGTGTCACTAACAACTGTAGTGCTACTAACAACAACAGTGCCACTAACAACAACAGTGCCACTAACAATAACAGTGTCACTAACAACAACTGTGGCACTAACAACAACAGTGGCACTAACAACCACAATGCCACTAACAACAACAGTGCCATTAACAACAACAGTGGCACTAACACCAACAACAGTGCTACTAACAACAACAGAACCACTAACAAGAACTGTGCCACTAACAATAACAGGGCCACTAACACCAATGCTACTAACAACAATGCTACTAACAACAACAGTGTTACTAACAACAACAGTGTTACTAACAACAATGCTACTAACAACAACAGTGTTACTAACAACAATGCTACTAACAACAACAGTGTTACTAACAACAACAGTGTTACTAACAACAACTGTGCCGCAAACAACAGTGCAACTAACAACTGTGCTACTATCAACAACAGTGCCACTAACAACAACAGTGAGGCTAACAACAACGGTGCCAATAATAACATCAGTCCAACTAACGACAACAGTGTCACTAACAACAAATGTGCCACTAACAACAACAGTGACACTAACAACAACAGTGCCACTAACAACAACAGTGCCACTAACAACAACAGTGCTACTAACAACAACAGTGCCACTAAGAATAAGTGTCAGTAATAAGAGTGCCACTAACAACAACAGTGTCACTAACAACAACACTGCCACTAACAACAACAACAGTGCCACTAACAACAACAATGCTATTAACAACATTGCCACTAATAGCAACTGTGCAACTAACAACAACAGTGCCACTAACAACAACTGTGCTACTAACAACAACAGTGCCACTGACAACAACAGTGCTACTAACAACAACAGTGTTACTAACAACAACAGTGCCACTGACAACAATAAACAATTCTATGCACAACCATTAGCGTCACACCCGCACCTTACATTGTGTACACAATAAAAGCTTTATGTAAATAAACAGTTTAGTTTAGGTCTAATGGTTGCTTGCTTTTTTAATGTTCTGTATTAGTTGGTATTTCTGTGTATATTCAGTCATAGGTAACATGTCCTCACGTTCATCTACCTCTTCCTCACCTTCATCTACCTCTTCCTCACCTTCATCTACCTCTTCCTCACCTTCATCTACCTATTCCTCACCTTCATCTACCTCTTCCTCACCTTCATGTACCTCTTCCTCACCTTCATCTACCTCTTCCTCACCTTCATCTACCTTTTCCTCACTTTCATCTACCTCTTCCTCACCTTCATCTACCTCTTCCTCACCTTCATCTACCTCTTCCTCACCTTCATCTACCTATTCCTCACCTTCATCTACCTCTTCCTCACCTTCATATACCTCTTCCTCACCTTCATCTACCTCTTCCTCACCTTCATCTATCTATTCCTCACCTTCATCTACCTCTTCCTCACCTTCATATACCTCTTCCTCACCTTCATCTACCCTTTCCTCACTTTCATCTACCTCTTCCTCACCTTCATCTACCTCTTCCTCACCTCATCTACCTCTTCCTCACCTTCATCTACCTCTTCCTCACCTTCATCTACCTCTTCCTCACCTTCATCTACCTCTTCCTCACCTTCATCTACCTCTTCCTCACCTTCATCTACCTCTTCCTCACCTTCATCTACCTCTTCCTCACCTTCATTAACCTCTTCCTCACATTCATCTACCTCTTCCTCACCTTCATCTACCTCTTCCTCACCTTCATCTACCTATTCCTCACCTTCATCTGCCTCTTCCTCACCTTCATCTACCTCTTCCTCACCTTCATCTACCTCTTCCTCACCTCCATGTACCTCTTCCTCACCTTCATCTACCTCTTCCTCACCTTCATCTACCTCTTCCTCACCTTCATCTACCTCTTCCTCACCTTCATCTACCTATTCCTCACCTTCATCTACCTATTCCTCACCTTCATCTACCTCTTCCTCACCTTCACCTACCTATTCCTCACCTTCATCTACCTCTTCCTCAACTTCATCTACCTCTTCCTCACCTTTATCTACCTCTTCCTCACCTTCATCTGCCTATTCCTCACCTTCATCTACCTCTTCCTCAACTTCATCTACCTCTTCCTCACCTTTATCTACCTCTTCCTCACCTTCATCTACCTATTCCTCACCTTCATCTACCTCGTCCTCAACTTCATCTACCTCTTCCTCACCTTCATCTACCTATTCCTCACCTTCATCTACCTCTTCCTCAACTTCATCTACCTCTTCCTCACCTTCATCTACCTCTTCCTCACCTTCATTAACCTCTTCCTCACATTCATCTACCTCTTCCTCACCTTCATCTACCTCTTCCTCACCTTCATCTACCTCTTCCTCACCTTCATCTACCTATTCCTCACCTTCATCTACCTCTTCCTCACCTTCATCTACCTCTTCCTCACCTTCATATACCTCTTCCTCACCTTCATCTACCTATTCCTCACCTTTATCTACCTCTTCCTCACCTTCATCTACCTATTCCTCACCTTCATCTACCTCTTCCTCAACTTCATCTACCTCTTCCTCACCTTCATCTACCTCTTCCTCACCTTCATCTACCTATTCCTCACCTTTATCTACCTCTTCCTCACCTTCATCTACCTATTCCTCACCTTCATCTACCTCTTCCTCAACTTCATCTACCTCTTCCTCACCTTAATCTACCTATTCCTCACCTTCATCTACCTCTTCCTCAACTTCATCTACCTCTTCCTCACCTTTATCTACCTCTTCCTCACCTTCATCTTCCTATTCCTCACCTTTATCTACCTCTTCCTCACCTTCATCTACCTATTCCTCACCTTCATCTACCTCTTCCTCACCTTCATCTTCCTATTCCTCACCTTTATCTACCTCTTCCTCACCTTCATCTACCTATTCCTCACCTTCATCTACCTCTTCCTCACCTTCATCTACCTCCTGACTATTTGCACATTCGTCCTCCCATCACTCGTGTTGCAGAGCTGTTGCAAGGCTCCAGGAGGCGGGTAGGCAGCCCTGGTTCACACTGTGCACCGCTTGTGTTGCAAGGTTCCAGGAGCCGGGTAGGCAGCGCAGGTGCTCACTGTGCACCGCTTGTGCACATAAACTATCTCTCTGTTGCTTTGTTTACTCTGGCCCAGGTTGTTTGGTCTCTAATGAGGGCTCATGTTTGGACCAGCTTGACTCCGCTGCCAGGTGTGTTGGACGGTGGTTCAGCTCGGAATAAGCTGAATAGCTACGCTGCTCGCAGCTGCTAGTCTGGAGAGCCAGCACTAGTTCCCCCATCTATAACAAGGACTATTTTGGGGAACTTCTGGCCTTCTGGGGAACCTTTATGCAGACAAGTCACCAGAAAAGGTGACAAACGTAACCTAGACATCCGTGAGGACATCTACCCACGTGACCTGTGACGGCGACAAAGGTAACATCTACCCACGTGACCTGTGACGGTGACAAAGGTAACGTCTACCCACGAGACCTATGACGGTGACAAAGGTAATGTCTACCCACGTGACCTGTGATGACCCGTGAAAAGACTCAGGCGCCCAAGTCGATGTAAGAGGAAGGAGTAACGCGGCCTCCAGTCTTAGTAACTCACTCGTAACTGTGTAAGTCGCCCACGAGTGAACGCGTGTCAGCGAACCACGTGTGTAACTGTCAAGCTCAACCACGTGTATTCACGTGGTTCAGCTTCACGTGAACACTCACATATACGTGTGTGTTCACGTTACACAAATATTCTCGTTCACACACAGCCTCAACCGGTGAGTCCAGAGTCATGACCCCACTGGTTTAGTCTTGACCCCACTGGTTTGGTCGTGACCCCATTGGTATGGTCGTGACCCCACAGGTTTAGTCCTGACCCCACTGGTTTAGTCCTGACCCCACTGGTTTAGTCGTGACCCCACTGGTTTAGTCTTGACCCCACTGGTTTAGTCGTGACCCCACTGGTATGGTCGTGACCCCACAGGTTTAGTCCTGACCCCACTGGTTTAGTCCTGACCCCACTGGTTTAGTCGTGACCCCACTGGTTTAGTCCTGACTCCACTGGTTTAGTCGTGACCCCACTGGTTTAGTCGTGACCCCACAGGTTTAGTCGTGACCCCACTGGTTTAGTCCTGACCCCACTGGTTTAGTCGTGACCCCACTGGTTTAGTCCTGACCCCACTGGTTTAGTCCTGACCCCACTGGTTTAGTCGTGACCCCACAGGTTTGGTCGTAACCCCACTGGTTTAGTCGTGACCCCACTGGTATGGTCGTGACCCCACTGGTTTAGTCGTGACCCCACTGGTTTAGTCGTGACCCCACAGGTTTAGTCCTGACCCCACTGGTTTAGTCCTGACCCCACTAGTTTAGTCGTGACCCCACTGGTTTAGTCCTGACCCCACTGGTTTAGTCCTGATCCCCCTGGTTTAGTCGTGACCCCACTGGTTTAGTCGTGACCCCACTGGTATGGTCGTGACCCCACTGGTTTAGTCGTGACCCCACTGGTTTAGTCGTGACCCCACTGGTTTAGTCCTGACCCCACTGGTTTAGTCCTGACCCCACTGGTTTAGTCGTGACCCCACTGGTTTAGTCGTGACCCCACTGGTTTAGTCGTGACCCCACTGGTTTAGTCGTGACCCCACTGGTTTAGTCGTGACCCCACTGGTTTAGTCGTGACCCCACTGGTTTAGTCGTGACCCCACTGGTTTAGTCCTGACCCCACTGGTTTAGTCCTGACCCCACTGGTTTAGTCCTGACCCCACTGGTTTAGTCGTGACCCCACTGGTTTAGTCGTGACCCCACTGGTTTAGTCCTGACCACACTGGTTTAGTCCTGACCCCACTGGTTTAGTCCTGACCCCACTGGTTTAGTCCTGACCCCACTGGTTTAGTCGTGACCCCACTGGTTTAGTCGTGACCCCACTGGTTTAGTCGTGACCCCACTGGTTTAGTCGTGACCCCACTGGTTTAGTCTTAACCCCACTGGTTTAGTCGTGACCCCACTGGTTTAGTCTTAACCCCACTGGTTTAGTCGTGATCCCACTGGTTTAGTCCTGACCCCACTGGTTTAGTCCTGACCCCACTGGTTTAGTCGTGACCCCACTGGTTTAGTCCTGACCCCACTGGTTTAGTCTTAACCCCACTGGTTTAGTCGTGATCCCACTGGTTTAGTCTTAACCCCACTGGTTTAGTCTTAACCCCACTGGTTTAGTCCTGACCCCACTGGTTTAGTCGTGACCCCACTGGTTTAGTCCTGACCCCACTGGTTTAGTCTTAACCCCACTGATTTAGTCCTGACCCCACTGGTTTAGTCTTAACCCCACTGCTTTAGTCCTGACCCCACTGGTTTAGTCTTAACCCCACTGATTTAGTCCTGACCCCACTGGTTTAGTCGTGACCCCACTGGTTTAGTCGTGACCCCACTGGTTTAGTCGTGACCCCACTGGTTTGGTCGTGACCCCACTGGTTTAGTCGTGACCCCACTGGTTTAGTCCTGACCCCACTGGTTTGGTCGTGACCCCACTGGTTTAGTCCTGACCCCATTGGTTTAGTCGTGACCCCACTGGTTTAGTCGTGACCCCACTGGTTTGGTCGTGACCCCACTGGTTTAGTCGTGACCCCACTGG